AAAAATTATTTCATACATTAAGCTAGGTAATTAACCGAGTGTGTTTTCTTTTATAATATAAACACTTACTTATCAATTGTGCCGGCCATGAAGTAAACCATTGGAAAGCAGCAAATGGCCTCTAAGAAATGGTTGTCTGGCCTGCGGGAAACGGGAAACATGAATTGAGCATCCCACACTAATTATCTTTGTAAACCCCAGTGACAGATTACAAAACTGTACAAGTAATTTCCTGAAATTTGCCTGTTGATGAGGGCAGGAAAGATTTGTTTGAATTCATTATGGATTAAGAGAGAAATAAAATGTTCAATGCATTTGGAGGATTTATAAAAAACTGCCTGACATTTAAATTCCCGAGGGGGCCACTTTGTTTTCCTGGCCCTGTGTTTTTGTCGTTCATCTGTTTCAGCAAACTGCAGAAATGAGGTCAAAGTTAATGAAGCCCGCAGTGGGTTAGAGCAGAAAAAATGTACCACTGCAACATGCATGCACAAAAATATATATATGCCCTAACATACAAACACTGCAGACGTCTATGAATAATGCAAAAAAACCCATAATCTGCTGCCTGTAACATCTGAAACTGCCAAAATAATGATCCTATAGAGAAGTCCATGCACCGCAATAATGATAAACCAGTCTCATCAACACTGTGCAGTAACACTGACATCCATGTAACAAAGAGAGGGCCTCCTTCATTGGTTATATCATCATCAATTATTCTTAAAAAGCACACAAAAAAAACACGTTTTATAAGACTTTCAAATTCTTGTGATATTTAAAAGCTTTAGGCTTTCGCATCACTGTCAGGAAATCTAATAAACGCTGGTCTGGATGTGTTGGATGTTAGACTGAACAGTCTTACGGGTAGTCCAGTAGCAGCACTATGGGGTTGAGTTCTTTTCTGGGCCGATAATAAGCCCGCAGAGGGACGATGAAGTTGTAGAGGCCATTTCCGGCCGTCTCTGCAGACACTATAATCAGCTTATTCTTGAAGCCGTATGCCTTGGCATCCTCGAAGCTGTTATGTGTGCAGCCCTGGAGGGAGACAGACAATTCAACAGAAATTTAGTCAAGGTCTAGTATTCCTGTGCGCTTAGGAAACAAACCACAGGGCAGTTACTGACCACGACGATAAAACAGATGTTTAAAAAAAGCGTTGATTTTGTACTGTGAGTTTTCATTGAGTCTTACCTTGTCGAGGCGAAGGCAGCAGAACGGAGCTTTCTGTGGTAGGAGGTGGCACAGGGTTGGAGAGCTGCCGATGTAGGGGGAGTTGGGGGGATAGCCCTTCACAAAGCTTGTGGAAAAGAAACAGAAAAAAAAAACACTTAAACACTCAAAGAACTCACCTTTACAGCTTTAAAGAACTATCAGGCAAATATCAGCGGTGACATATTTTAGGATATTATGCGACTGTTAATTTTTAACTTTATTTAAGGAGATTCTGAAGAGGCTTCTACTGTTACAAAATTTCTCTAAGCATCACCGACTCCCTCTTCCTTCTTTCATCACTACTTTATAATATAAACTAAGTGAATTATCACCAGTTTAATGTTTCTTCTTTTCAGTTTATTATTAGATTCTGCAGCTGCTTTACTATAATTACATTATAATGTTTGTAAGCCTGAAGGACTAATTCAATTACAAAGTTTATTTATTTTTAATCAAGTCTTGATTGTGTGTCCGTTTGGTTCTGTGCTCCTTAATTTGTAATGGGTCAGCTGCAATTACCTAATGAGTTTCACGATGCCCTCTAGTTTGCCAATAAAAGAAATTCCAGGTGATCATAGATGTAAACCTACTGATCACCACACGATGGCACTGTGGGACCTTGAATTTTCTTCTATGCGGCACTGACAAATCTTAAAAAAGAAAAACTACTGAAGCGTCAACGGGTGCAGTAATGGAGGCACACAGGTCAGAAGGACCATGTTAGGTCCACCTTTATGAAACTCACCATTGTCTGGGTCTAACAGCTGTTGGATTTTATGGGCTGAGGGATCAGTACATAATCTATCCTGAACTTATCTCACTTTTAAGAAACCGCATAGACGGAGAAAATAAAGCACATGGGCCTTAGCCTACATCTGACGTGCTAAAACCCTTTCAGGGTGACTGCCTGGCTAACTGATGAATGAGCGCTAAGAGCAGCAATCAATACAGAGACACCATACAAGAACCTCACTTGGAAAATAAGGTGCTATCCTCACTGACATGATGTACACATTCATCACTAGTACTTCACATCTAATGGCATCACGACACACTGATTACATGCCTATTTCAAACTCATCCATCTTTGATCCTACAACAGCTGAGAGACAAAGAAGGGGAGGTGAGATCAGTCAAGCACAGAGCAAAGGATACCACGGCACATTTCAGTTAAAAAAAAAATACTTACTCTGAACCTACAGAACCTTCCTCATCTGATTGGTTGGTCTCATCCTCTGACTGGTCACTGAGGAGGTCGCAGGGCAGGATGGAGGAGGAGTCAGCAATTTCCAGAACGGGGGCGATGCTCGGTCGGCGGCTTCCAGCTCCGTTCTCTGTTGGGAGGGCGAGTTTGCTGGTTTCCTCAGGAGGATCGGGATGCTGCAGGTCAATGGCTACGGTGCCTGGAAATCATGTTGGGTTATATTATCACAACTGTAAAGCTATACAGAAATAGCTTTATGAATATATTGAGACTTTTCATTATCTTGGCCTGCAATATTCCTACTACTCTCTTGAGTCTCAGCAGTTTGACCTTGAGGAGAAAATGTATTGCTTTCTGAAGCACAAAGCTACCATCTACCATGAAAAGCATGCATATAGTAATGACTTAGCATATCTGTCAGTAAATATATCCCTATGATGTATGATATACATCATATCATAAATATGAAAAATGGATAGATCAGTTATATAAAGCACAATTGTTTCCAACTAGTTAGGATGCTGTGACGAAAATAGGTAATTAAAACAGAACGCAAATATTGACATTTGGGTTATTCAAAGCTTGTGTTTATTAAAAAATGCACAAAGAGAACAAATTGCTCAATTAAAAAAGGTTAATATTTGCCAACTGTTTTTACTTAAAGCACCCTAACTTATTTGGATACAGAGTTGTACAAGATATGTGGCAAAGATATATGCACAATATCAGATTTGATATATGTACTACACATATATCATTCTGCTGAAACATTTTTAGGCTAAGTGTGAGGTGTTATTGTGCAAATGATTCCAAATAAAATGTGTGAATAATAGAAAATTGATGCCTCATGCACAAACTTACCAAATGAAGTGGCCTGATCAACTTTCACAGGTTAAAAAAAAAAGCACAACACAACAATGTCAGCCAACAAAGTAAAAAAAAAAAAAATCATGCATAACAGTCAGTGAAAGCATAAAGCATCAGCAATGCAGCCACCACTAAGCATTCAGAAAGGCCCAGTGTGAGTGCAATTTAGAGTAAACCACCGACAAAGCATCCATTTTCTCTTCTTCTATGGAAACCCTTTCAGCCATCAGATAGTGAGCCTAGTAAGCACACAAACAGAACCCTCCCATCTTCCTATTTTCTCTGCTTTCTTTATCAGCTGCGCTTTTATGTCAACATAATTTATTCCTGCCTGTGGCTTTCAGTCTTACCCATGCTGGCGATGATGCTGTGCACAGGTAGCCTTGAGGGGGCGTCGTAGAGCCCGGAGACAGGCAGGCCCTTGTGCTTCTCCTCTTGCTTGAAGATGAAAGCAGAGTTCTCTTCCTTGGTGATGTTGATGTAGTAGCAGGTATCAGTAGCAGCCATGATGTGGCGAGGTCCGGGGTTCAGGAGGATGCTTTTGTTGTCCTCTCTTTTAACTCCAATCAAACACACGCCATACCTGACGATTGAAATCAAAATGACACAAACATGGTTTTTGCTCTCAGAGATGTTACTCTAATGTGAAAGGATCTTACTCTACTGAGCTAGAAGAAAATGTACTAACTTCTTGTGGGCGTGGAAGGAAGCATAGGTGAAACTCTTTCCGTCGTACTCCCCAAAAAACTTGCTGTCACACAAGCGGATGTGGTAGACCTCGTTTCCAGAGCAGCGTCCATATGTCCTCTGCCACTGCTCCGGTGATAACTGCCCCTCCCTGAATTTGTATTAACAGAACAATTCATTCTGATGTTTCGTGTCCCATAGACTTTTTGCTACAAGCTACATTCTTACTATATTTTAGACTGTGATCTTAAACTCTGGCGCAGAACCAATTTGAATGTCAGAGAAAGAAGACATTTAAATCAACAAACAATTTATTTGTCTCTCGGTACTGATAAATCAAACCTTTCATGACCTTTTCTGACTCTGTTTTCCCCAGCCTCCTCAACTGTAGTCACAAACAATATCAGGACACAACAGGCTTTAAGGTCATTGACGTAAGACAGATTGTGCACATCATAATTATATTTGAAATCTGGCACAAATTAAGTCCTCTGTCATCTTGTCTAAGCCACAAACTGGGGCCAGTTTCCATAATGGAAATGAAAATGGATGTGTGTCTCCTGCGGACTGAACAGAATGTGAAAGAAAAACAGCCAGATTTATGGCCTGACAAGAAAAAAGTGTAATGTTCACTGACTCGACAGTGACAAGTCGGGGCAGTGGTGACAGTAGAGTAGTGAGAGTGTACCGAGTGCAGTCTGTGTAACTGTAAAGACTGTGTGCAGAACACACAGTCCTCCTCCTCTCAAATTAATCCCAAAGAGAGATTTAATCTCTCCACAAATATTCAACTCTTTAGTCAAAGCGAAGATTAGAAATTTTACTGAATAGAAACCTTTCAGAGAAGCTGAGTTGCTATGTAGGCAGAAACAAAGACATTTGTTGAGTAAATTCTTAAGGAGTAAAAATATGGTTTTAATAGGTCTTATTAGCTTGAAATCCAAAAACAATGTCCACAGGCTACAACAAACTATGTCTTCTAGAGCAATTACAGAACTCACAGACACTTAAAAAACTACACAGGGCTTCCATTACTTGTTTCCTTAAGTATAATACTACCCATACATGCAGATTTAGGCTACGTCCACACGTACACGGGTATTTTTGAAAACGGAGATTTTCTGTTTTCGTTTTAAAAATTAATCCCGT